GGTAGATATTTTTATCCATCATAGTTGAACAAATCTACAGCCTTCGGTTTGGTGAAAGTTGAAACAAACCAAAGTCAACACCTAGGGCTCTGGTGATCTCTGCAATTTGGAAAAAAATAAATAATTGTTCTTGTCCAAAATTTAAAAAAATAACGTAGCTGTCACATAAAGGCCCAGACCCGTTTTAAGTATTTTGAAGCATTTTTTTTTAACAAAGTGGCAATAATAATACTACTTCTTCTAATTTGTCATTTCAGGTTTTCATAAGACAATAGATCTCTCCGCACGTTTTTATACAAAATTCCCTATAGAGGTTCTGAAAAATTTTAGGTATTTTAAGGATCCTAACCATTAATTCAACCAAAATGACCCTATCTTAATATTTCGGGACCTCAAATGATAATAGACTTTGTCACAGAGAAATGTTACAAAGAATATTTTTTTATAAATTCCATTAGTCATATTAAGGCTTCTCCAAGGTCTTTGAGTCATTTTTTAACAAAAGCAGATTTTATTTGTAATTTCGGGTTCTTCAAGGATAAATCCAACCCAACCACTTACTGGTCCATATTTTGTCTGTAAATGTCTGACGTATTTTCCAACTTTAGTAGCTATTTTTATAATTCCGACTTTTCAGAATGATCTGTATTCGAAGGTCCCAGCAGCATTTTCCAAACGGAGTGCCTCTAACTTGACATTTCTGTTCTGAGGGTACCACAAATGTAGAATATTGTAGGGATAGCCCCTACAATATTCTACATTTTTTGTATATTGGGCAATTTTTGTTTGAATTTTTCGTGGTAGTCATTATAGGTCCATGTTTCCACATAGAACCCACACAAAGTTCAGGCGTAATTTTTGACTTGTCAAATTTGTCTACTGAGTGTCTGTAGTTATACCCTACATAACTATGTTGCCAGGGTATTATAGCTTTGTGCAGCCCCATGAGTTTGTAACGCCGTGAAATATTAGAGCCACCTTAAAAAAATTATCGATCATCATATCTCGACTACCTGAGACGATCTGGAAATGTGTGTACGTCCGTCCGTCTGTCCATTATAATTTGTAAACACAGTTATGGACCAATATTCACGAATTTTTGCATGTAGGACGTGTTCTAGCCAATGAAGACCCCTATTGTTTTTAGTAAAGATCGGTTAATATTTAGGTGGTGATATGGACCAAATACCTAATTTTTGTCGCTTTTTCTGGTTGCTCCAGATACCGCAATTATGGACCGAACATCGCGAATTTTTACATGGAGAAGGGGATCGGGCCAAAGAATAAGCATGCCTGTTTTAATAAAGATCGGCCATTATTTAGCGGGTCAAATAGATGACTTTTATGTGAAAAATTACAAAATTTGTATTCTATGGCGTATGTATCGGCTCCTGAAGGAAATATACCCTAGAAGTTGAGAGTATATCTAAGAGGAGTGAACGGCCTTTAAATTTATACCAAATATATTGCCGTATGTAATCGGATGTGAGAGTTAACCTTAAATATTTATAGGTGCTTACGAATTCAGATATTATATAGTAACCCATTATCACACTAGAAGGCGGAAATATAGCGCTGATCGCTTTAAAATTTTCCAAGAGGTGCCTGTTATGGTCAAGGACATCGCCTATAATTTTCAGTGATGATCATATAAAAAAATTGGAATGAAGTGGATCGAAAACATAATTTTTTGTGATTTTTTCCGAGTCGATTTATAAGCCACAAGCCGAACATCACACACAACTCAAGGTAAAGAGAATAATTATCCATCGCTACAACAAAAATCTGCTTCGAAAAGGACTGTTCCTAGAATGAAGACAAATGTCGAACTTTGACAAATTTGAATTTAATTCGCATATGCAAGTTTCGCATCAGGGCGGAATAAATACAAGTTATCAACGTACGACCTTTGTAAAGCCACATAGCCCGATATGCCTGATGAGCCGCATAACCAACGGCGAAAGGCGTCGCATAATGGTGGGCTATGTAGGTTCTTCTCCGGCATTCCTTTTCATTGCAAAACATAGATCATCACTCGAAAGAGTATAAATAATCACTTAAAATTACTTTCAAATGATCACTGCCCTTACAAGGCAAAATTCAAATAACAAAAGAGAATCTGGATAAGTAATTAGCAGGGCTGTACTGAATATTGGGAATATTCGGAAAATATGTCAGTGTAAGGAAGAGGTGCTGTTGGTCAAAAGATATAATCGTTTAAAAGAGTACAAATATCACGAAATATAGCCCAGGCTCGAAATAAACATCCGCAGAATGATGGAGTTCCGTGGTAGTTGTGTCGACCATACGATACCCTGTATGGTCGGCCCCGTCCGACTATACTGCTCCGCTCACTAGTTTTATATTACGTTTTTTTTTTCTCGGCAGCAATTTACCAAATCATAGTCCCCTTATAAAAGTCTAGATCAATTTTTGAGGAAAGAAATAAGAAAATCGGCCCGGCAGAACCTAACGTTTTTACTTGTTTAACATAGTTCCTCATTGGGTGTAATTTGGTACCAGTATTTTATAATACCTCCAATGGAATCGGACTGTTCGAATTTTTTTTTTTTTGTCCACAACGTCCTTTCCTGTTTTCTTCAATTTTAAATTGTATTGTTTTTGCTCATTCCAGCAAATGATTGGTCGGCCATGATCTATTTCTTTGGAATCAATTTGGTAATTGTACTCATCGACATAATCTTTTTCTCCATGACCTATTACAAAATCACGGTGATGCAAAGGGATATTAATAAAATCATAAGGAATGACACGAATGAGGGACGACATCAGCTGAGGACGCACAAGAATAAGTAACCACTCAATATTGATAATATCAATTTTGAATTTTCAATAATTATTTCTTTTTTTATCCCCAGCTTTGGTCTCTTTTTACGTTTATTCCTAATTATGGGCGTCTCTTGGCTGCTGGACATTGTTTCCTATATCGAAACTCTACTCTATCCGGATGACATTAATCCATTGTATTATGTTTCGGATTTTATGAATGCCATATTGGGTCTGTTGATATTTGTGTGTTTCGTCTTGAAACCCAAGGTCTTGTCGCTAATCAAAAAGAGGTAAGTTTCGTTTTGAGTACCATTTGAATTCTGATGCTTTTTATTGCAGCCGCGTGTTTTTTCCTTTTATTTATTTATTCATTTTTTTTCTGTTTGTTTTCCACACCAAAAACAATGTTTATATGACTTTTTATATTGTTGCTTTTTTCCATAAATTTATATCCACAAAAAAAAAATTATATTTTATTTGCATTCGCATAAAAAAAAAAACAAAAACAAATAAAAAGATTATTTGGTAAGCAAGATGAAACTGACAACACCACCCATTCTGATTGCGAGGAAGAGGAAATCTCTTTGAATGGTATTGGCTCAGGTACAGAATTTGTTAATTATTTTCGAAATTTTGCTTTCTTTGCCTTTATTTTCTGTTTTTGCCATTTTGCATGTAAATAATAATTAAAATTGGTTATGTGTTTGTGTGTGTGAGTTTTGGTTTTTTGTTTTGTTGCTTCTGTTTTGTGGGTGTCGGTGTCAGTGACACTGTCAGAAGTTAATTGAACTTTAGCTGGTGTTATGGTTATGGAATGCACAATGGTTTTATATAAATTTTAATTCTTTCCTTTTAAGTTCATGGTGAATGCAATTTTATGTTCAAAACTAATTATTTTATTTATTAATACGTTACTAATTGAATTAAATCTAGTGAAATTGTCGTCAAGTTCGGCCAGGTCGAACAGTTTATATCCTCCACATTCAAAATACTAAAATTCGGTCGAGTTCCCTTTATGTGGAATTATTTCAATATATAGAAAAACAGACTGGGAAATTACAACTTCGGCTAATATCTTCAACGTACCGAAAAGGACATGGGGTAATATCCAAACATGGAATTCGACAGTGATGTTACCGAGCGCCTGTTTGCACTAATTTTTGAAAATCAACGTCTATAGCCGTGATAATATCAAAAAACCATTTAAAAAAATCCAAGCGTGGGTCTCTGATTATCCCCGAAAAAAGATACTTAACCAGTGAGCGCAGCAGTATAGTCGGACGGTGCCGACCATATAATACCCTTCACAACTTCCACGAAAATCTAACTTTCTGTGATACTATATTCTGACTTTCTGGGATACTATATTCGGTCCAGTTTATCCCAAATTTATTGTCTGATTATCACCGAAAATTATAGGCGTTGTCCTTGACCATACATGGATCCTCATGGAAAATATCAAAGCGATCAGAGCTATATTTCCGCCCTCTAGTGTGGTAATGGATTACTAAATAATATCTGAATACATAAGTACCTGCAAATATTTAAGTGTAACTCCCACATCCGCGTACCTATGACAATGTAATTGGTATCTATTTAAAGGTCAATCACTCCTATTGGATATACAATCAACTTCTCGGGTCTATGTCCTTCGGGAGTAAATATATTCGCCATAGAATACAAATTTTGTAATTTTTCACACAAAAGTCAGGGTCCATTTGACCCGCTAAATATTGACCGATCTTTATCAAAACAGGTATGCTTATTCTTTGGCCCGATCCCCTACTCCATGTAAAATTTCACGATGTTCGGGCCATAATTGCGGCCTCTGGAGCGACCAGATAAACCGACAAAAAATTAGTATTTGGTCCATTTCATCCCCTAAATATTAACTGATCTTTACCAAAAACAATAGGGGTCTTCATTGGCCAGAACCCATCCTACATACAAAAATTTGGTGAAGATTGGTCCATAACTGTGGTCTCTATCGTGTTTACAAATTATAATGGACAGACGGACGGACACACATGTCTAGATCGACTCAGCTAGTCGAGATATGACGATCGGTATACTTGAAGGTGAGTCTAGGACCAATATTTCGCGGCGTTACAAACTCTTGGGGCTGCACAAAGCTATAATACCCTGACAACATAGTTGTGTAGGGTATAAAAATTGTCGCATAAAGCTCTGATATTCCCCGAAAAATTATTGGCTATATCTCCGAGCACTTCTAAAAAATATTCTTAAAAAATCTGACATTCCCTGAAGGAATGTTCATAAAAATTCACAATTTTGCTATGATTCTTCATTCTATAATTCTCGAAAAAATCCAAGTCTATAGCTCATTATTAAAAAACTTAAAAAAAAACAGTAAGGTAGTTAAGTCGGACTGGGCCGACTATATGATACCCTTCACCACTTTGGGTATATTCTACAAAGTAACCTTAAAGCCTTTTCGGAAGAACATTGACATGAAGTTGAACGAAAAAACTTTAGTGCACTATTTACCTTAAATCGGACAAGAATATATATGGGAGCTATATCTAAATCTGAACCGCTTTTCACGAAACATAGCACACATCATTATAGACACCATGTAGTACACTGTGCCAAATTTCGTGCAAAACGAAAGATATTTAGGGACTTTGGGGCACCATTTACCTTAAATCGGACGAAAATATATATGGGAGCTATATCTAAATCTGAACCGATTTTCACGAAACTTCGTACACATCATTATAGACTCAATTTGGAGCGCAATGCCAAATTTCGTGCAAATCGAAAGATCTTTAGGGACTTTGGTGCACCATTTACCTTAAATCAGACGATAATATATATGGGAGCTATATCTAAATCTGAACCGATTTTCGCGAAACTCAGCACACATTATTAAAGACTCAATTTAGTACGCTATGCCAAATTTCGTGCAAATCGAAAGATCTTTAGGGACTTTGGTGCACCATTTTCCTTAAATCGGACGATAATATATATGGGAGCTATATCCAAATCTGAACCGATTTTCACGAAACTTCGTACACATCGTTATAGGCTCAATTTAGTGCGCAATGCCAAATTTCGTGCAAATCGTAAGCGCTTTAGGGACGTTGGTGCACCATTTACCTTAAATTGGACGATAATATATATGGGAGCTATATCTAAATCTGAACAGATTTTCACGAAACTTCGTACACATCATAATAGACTTAATTCAGTACGCCATGCAAAATTTCGGGGAAATCGAAAGATATTTAGGTACTTTGGCGCCCCATTTACCTTAAATCGGACGAATATATGGGAGCTATATCTAAATCTGAATCGATTTTCAGGAAACTGAACACACATCATTCTAGACCTAATTCATTACGCTTTGCCAAATTTCATGCAAATCGAAAGATATTAAGGGCTTTTGGTACACCATTTACCTTAAATCGGAAAATATATATGGGAGCTATATTTAAATCTGAAACTATTTTCACGAAACTAAGCGCTCATCATTATAGACTCCATTTAGTACGCTATGCCAAATTTCGTGCAAATCGAAAGGTATTTAGGGACTTTGGCGCCACATTTACCTCAAATCGGACAAAAATACATATGGGAGCTATATTTAAATCTGAACCGATTTTCTTGAATTTCAATAGGGTTCGTCCTTGGGCCAAATTAGTGACTTGTGCCAAATTTCATCCAAATCGGATGATAAATGTGACCTCTGCTTTGTTTACAATTTAACATCAACAGACGGACGGACATGCATAAATCGACTCAGAAAGTGATTCTATGCATATTCTCAAAAGGAACCATGTGTCTATCTCGATTCCTTTTGCCTGTTACAAACATATGCACAAAGACATAATACCCTGTACCACAGTGTGGTGAAGGGTATAAATACTCCCCTATAGATCGCATAATTCCTAAGAAAAAGAAATTAAAATTCCACGCCTATAAGTGTGGAAAATTGTTACGCCTATAGCTGTGATAACTCTTGAAAAAGTAAAATACGCACGCCTATGCTCTAATAACTCTTTGGAAAAAAATTATAAAATATCAATACCTAAGACTGCGTAAATCCTTGGAACTCTATTCTTAAAGCATCCACGTTTATAGCTTCAAAATAAACACATACTTGTTTTGAGAACTGTATTTTTCAAACATATAAAATTATTTCCTTTTTTTTTTTGGATTATTTTTATTTAAATCGATAAACTTTAGTTATAAGTTTTTGGACCAAAATCCTATATGGCCTAACATAATTTTCAACTAACAAACACAAGGTACTTTTGAACTGGCATGAAACAATCTTATATGTATGTTTTTGTTAGCACTTTTGGAGAAAGAGCAAGCTAAAAAAAGAAATAACCATTAATTACAATTAAACAAAATTAAACAACTAATTTTCGTAATTATTTTTTTTTTGTTACAGATGTCAGCAAAGAAAGGAAGGAGCTCAACTGAGACCAATGGTAAAAAGAACTGCAACATCCCAACTCAGCCTATCGAAAATTCAAATGAGTCCAATACCAACACGCTAACCAGGAATTTATCTATACTTAAAATACTATTAGTTTTATTTATGGTAATTTGAATAATGTCAAAATTGTTATTTTTTTAATGTCATTAGTATTTAAGAAAAAATAACACTCTCCCAAAAGTATTATGACAGCTGTATATGTCTTTGTATGTACATATAAATGTATGTATTGTTGTAGCAAAAACTGCATTTTATATATTTAATTTATTTTTGTAATATAGTTTTGTAATATTATTTCAATAAAAAAACAAATAATTTGTATTTTTGTAAAAAATTATTTTTACGACATTTGATATGTGACATTTAATAATTGAAAGAAATATTCTTAAAAAATCCACACATATATGCTTACAAAATACGCGATTATAGTCCCGAATTTTCTCGCAAAATATAAATGCGATAATCCTTAATAATTTTCATAAAAATATCCTCAACAAGCATTATCTTTAAAAATCCCCGCCTAATCACAGACAAACCTATGAAAAATCCACGCCTATTGTTAGGGAAATTTTCAAAAAAAAAAAAAAAAAAACATATTATCGGGGCGTTTCTTTAAAAACTTTAAATAATTAAATCCACGATTATCGTCTTGGCAATTCTGTGAAAAAAAATCAAAGTCTATTATTAGGGCGATCCTCTGAAAAAATATTCTTTAAAATCCACCCCAACTGTTAGGTTAGGGCAATTCTCTTTAAAAAAATTTTCTGAAAAATCCAAGTTTCAATTTTCTGGGTGGCCCTCTGTAAAAAACCAGTGAGCGGAGCAGTTTAGTCGGACGGAGCCGACCATATGATACCCTACACAACTTCCATGAACATCTAACTTTCTGTGGCACCACATTCTGAGCTTGGACAATATTTCGCGATGTTTGCACCCTTTTGACCCACTAGAGGTCAACAAATATTACTACTATTCAGTACAATTACTTGTCCAGATTCCCTTCAACGTGGGTTGTTTTGTGATGTTCGGATTTCAATTGTGGCCTGTAGATCGACTCGAAAAAAACTACGTTTTCGGTCCACTTCATCAAAATTGGTATCAATTTAAAGGTCAACCACTCCTTCAGGGGTAAATCTATATGATATAGGATACAAATTTTGACATTTTTCACACAAAAGTCAGGGTCCATTTGACCCACTAAATATTGACCGATCTTTATCAAAACAGGCATGCATATTCTTTGGTCCGATCCCCTTCTTCATGCAAAAAATTTGGAGTGTTTGGGCCATAATTGCGGCCTCTGGAGCAACCAGAAAAACCGACAAAAAATAAGTTTTTGGTCCATTTCATCCCCTAAATATTAGTAGGGGTCTTCATTGGCCAGAACCCATTCTACATGCAAAATTTCGTGAAGATTGGTCCATAACTGTGGCCTGTATCGTGTTTACAAATTATAATGGACAGACGGACGGACGGACACACATGTCTAGATCAACTCAGCGAGATATGACGATCGGTATATTTAAAGGTGGGTCTAGGACCAATATTTCGCGGCGTTACAAACTTTTGGGGCTGCACAAAGCTATAATACCCTGACAACATAGTTGTGTAGGGCATAAAAATACTCAATAAAAATTCACGCCTATTCTCAGGGAAATCCTATAAAAATGCAAGCCTATTTTCAGGGCGGTTCTCTGTAAAACATATTCCTTAAAAATTCAGGCCTATTTTTAGGGCAATTCTCTTAGCAAATATCCATTAAAAATACACACCTATGGGGAGGGAAATTCTCTGCAAAAAATCCAAGCATATTATAAGCGCGATCTTTTGAAAAAAAAAATATTCTTTTAAAATCCATGACTATCGTCAGGGCAATTCTCTAAAAAAACAAAGTCTATTATCAGAGCGATCATCTAAAAAAAAAATATTTAAAATCCACTAATACTGTCAGGATAATTATCTGAAAAAATGCAAGCCTATTTTCAGAGCTATCCTCTGAAAAAAAAATTCTCTCAAAAAAATCCACGCCTTTTGTAAGGGAAATCCTATAAAAATTCAAGCCTATTTTCAGGGCGGTTCTCTGTAAACTATATTCCTTAAAAATTCAGGCCTATTGTCAGGGCAATTCTCTTAACAAATATAAAAATACAAACCTAAGGGGAGGGAAATTCTCTGAAAAAAAACCAAGCATATTATCAGTGCGATCTTTTGAAAAAAATATACTTTTAAAAAAATATACTTTTAATCTAAAAAAACAAAGTCTATTATCAGCGCGATCATCTAAAAAATATTCTGTAGTGTTGGCGGTTTTTTTGGGATATTATTTGTAGTTTGTTTTTGCAAAATAGTCAGGGTGAATCCCAGTTTGTTGTTTTTATAAAAAAACAACTATTTATAGGTGGGGAATGTATGACATTGTTTATCGAGGGGTAAGGCAGGGAAGACTATAGTTCCGGATCACGCCACTGATCCTAATCAGTTCCCTTAGTTTTTTGTAGGGATATTCTCCCCAGAAGCTATTGCTTCTATACAAAAAACCTTTCATATCCAAATGTCTCTTGTAACAAAGCGAAGTACTTAGCAGCCCAACGACATAAACTGCATGAGAATTTCGCTGGTGCCTCACTTCGAGGTTAACAAGGCATTTACAAACAATACCACACCTTTACCACTGTTGTGGGTTGTCACATCGCGACAAATGCACACAACGACTTTGTTGGTGTTGCTAGTATACAGCAACAAACCATACAGTTTAACCGTGCCTGCGTCTACAACTTCCGTAGTGTTGGCGGTTTATTTGGGATACCATTTGTATTTTGTTTTTGCAAAATAGTCAGGCTGAATCCCAGTTTGTTGTTTTTATAAAAAAACAACTATTTATTAGTGGGGAATTAAAAATATTCTTTAAAATCCACTAAAACTTTCAGGATAATTATTTGAAAAAATGCAAGCCTATTTTCAGAGCTATCCTTTGAAAAAAATTTTCTCTTAAAAATACACGCCTTTTGTCAGGGAAATTATCTGAAAAATCCATGCCTATTATCAAGGCGATTCTCTAAAAAAATCCATGCCTATTATCAGGGCGATCCTCTGAAAAAATATTATTTAAAAATCCACGCCTGTTTCCAGGACAAATCACTGATCATGTGAAAAAGTTTTTTTTTAAGCCACGCCAATTACCCGGCAAATCTCTTAAAAATATAAACAAATTATTAGGGTTATCCTTTGAAAAAATAGTTTTTAAAATTTGGCGGCTGTTTGTAGGAAAATTTGCTGAAAAAAATTCTTTAAAATTCACGCCTGTTAACAAGGAAACTCTCTGAAAAATATTCTTCACGCCTATTGGTAGAGTTTTGGAAAAAATTTTATTTAAAAATCTACGCCTACTGGCAAAGAAATTTTCTAAAAAATATTTATTAGAAATCACACGCCTTTGGCAGGGCAATTGTCTAAGAAAATAATCTTATAAAATCAACGTCTACGTAAATGTATTGTGGAATGACAAATTTAACCATTTTGTTCCACGAATTTTTACCCTTAACAATAGAACTATTTTCTGTGCACACATTTAATGCAACTATCCTAAGTAGGATATGAACAAAATTTGAAGTCGCTACATCCATGCATTCGGGAGATACAGTACCTTGTTTTGCCTTGATCTTTTCGATTGAAAAAATCGATTAATCGAAAGCCGACTTGTATATCCCTAGTATGCCCTATAATAAACAGTAAAGCCTATTTTTAGGCGCTAGCTCAATAATATTCAAAATATATATTATTATTTTTAAAATTATTTATTATTGATTATATACATGACAAGATTATAGGAAAACAAACAACCAACGATTTATGCTTGTTCGCCGACAGCAATAAACTACTTTAAGTAAAAAATTTAATTTTAAACTTAACGGAAATGTGGAAGTACGTCCATCTTTAAGGTATCACTGTTTGTATGTTTGTATACAAACAAAGTCAGTGCAGACAACATGAGTAATTCGTAAATACTTCGCAATAAAGAAAACCTACTTCGTGGTGCAAGGAAATTATGTTTATATACAAGAAATTTGGAAAGTTTTAAATAAAATAAAGTGCCTCATATGTAAGTTATTGAAATTTAACTTCACTCAAATAAGATTTTAATCAATAAATATCGGCTGTGTCCAAAGAATTTCCATTAAGATGCATAAACAAAAGGTTATTCGACACTACAGTCCATTGGTGCGTGTATTCCATTGTGTACAGTGTTTCGCGTACAACAATATATGGGCAATATTGCCATTGTTTTAACATAGCTGAAGCGGAGGTTTAACCCTTTATAACTCGGGAATTACTTAAGTATATGAAAAAAGTGAATAGTTTTGGGTTAATTGATCTGTCGTTGCAAACTGTTCATGGTATTGACCGCGAAACTTTATTTTGGTGGAATCTATGTATACTTTAATGTAAAAAATGTGTAAAAACAGGTTGAGGCGTTTTTATGTTCTCTATCGATTTGTGACTAAGCCACTCATTTCACTGTCTTCGTGTCAAAGTAAAACTAGAAGCCAACAAAATGGGGACTACGCCCCTTATGTATCATTTTTCAAAATTTTATCTACATCTACATTTAAATGATGCTGACATTTTGAAGCTCGATTTTGAGTATTTTTGAATTTTACTTTTAGCTTTAATACGCATACAGGATTTTCTAAAAACCGATTATAACATTATTGTAGTCGCGAATCTGATATATATTTGTTTATGTAGTAGTGATATATATTTTGTTTATGTAGTATGCACAGCTTCAGAGCAATACTCATCCGAAGGCGAGAATTTTGTGCGATCAAATTTCTAAAAAAACTATTTTTCGGGCCAAATTTTTAGATCTGTCAACTGAATGATATGGGTACCCGCGATCAGTAAGGTTTTTTACGTTTCGGATGATATAAAATCTTCTTCGTGAAAATCCATCTACTAGAACGGCGGGAACTGGCCTTCCAAAAACACAAAATTTGGCAACAAATGTTTTTGAAAATATCGCGGATTTATTTGCGATTTCTGTGTATCATTACCGCTTCAAT